GCTGGGAACTGTAGCTCAGAGAGGGGTACCTTCTAAGACCTCGAAGCATCCTTACCAAACTACAGCTCCCAGAATTCTTTGGGGGAAGCCATGATGACTGTATAAAGTAGTGTCATAGTGCTTTGGAGGTACGGTGTGAATGTGTCCTTTCAAAAAACCCTGCCAGGACCCCGATGGTGGAGTCTCTGCATGGGGCTGATGACCACCAAGGCCCAGTCTGAAGAAAACCCTCTACTTACCTCGGATGACCATCACCTCGATTCTTGCCCGACCGACTCCTGATGCGCTGCTCCCCACACAGTGGTACACCCCGCCGTCGGCCACCGTGATAGAGGGGATGACCAAGGTGGCAATGTCTGTCCTCTCAGCACGGGACTGTGGGCAAGGAGGAAGAGGAGAGTCACTGGAGTGTTTCTGGAGCTGCGGCTGAGCTCCAATGCCCCACAGGCCATGCTGGATGCTAGGCAGGCCTCTGGTGTGCAAAAAAGTGCCCCTGCCAGATTGCCTAAAATGAAGCCATGTAAACCACAGCAAGGGACGCTGTGGGTGACGCTGTAGATTAAACCACAGAGCCTAGGACTTGCCGATCAGAAGGTCAGCGGTTCGAATCCCCGCGACGGGGTGAGCTCCCGTTGCTCGGTCCCTGCTCCTGCCAACTTAGCAGTTCGAAAGCACGTCAAAGTGCAAGTAGATAAATAGGTACTACTCTGGTGGGAAGGTAAATGGCGTTTCCGTGCACTGCTCTGGTTCGCCAGAAGCGGCTTAGTCATGCTGGCCACATGACCCAGAAGCTGTACGCCGGCTCCCTCGGCCAATAAAGCGAGATGAGTGCCGCAACCCCAGAGTCAGCCACGACTGGACCTAATGGTCAGGGGTCCCTTTACCTTTAATCCACAGCGAGCATCTGATGGTGACTAAGCAAAGGGCTGTCTCCACAAATGCATCTGAAGGATTCAGTTTGCTTTTCCTTGAAGTGACGCTATCGGCCGATTGTGGTGTTTGCTCAATCGGCCCCAGCATACTGCCTTCCAGACACTTTACACTCCAACACCCAGCCGGCCCCATCCAGCGCAGCTGTATGGCACTGGGGCTGATGGGAGCATGGGGCTGAGTTGGAGTCCAAAGCTTAGCAAACAGCTGCTTCGGACAGCTCCGTTTTGGAGAGAGAAAGCAGGCTGATACAAACCTCTCTATCCAAATAAGCAAGCAAACGAACAAATAGATTAATGTTAGACGGGTTGGGGGGAAGGGAAACATTTTCCTCCCCAGTTTCCTCTTGAAGTTGCAACTGGTGGAGAACACAGGCATCCCACATAAACCCTGTGGCTTGTGGTTTCTGAGGCATGTTCAGGAGGGGTAGATGGGTGAGGGAGGCCTGGGGCAGATGGCAGGATGAGAATGGACCTCTTTCCTCCCCACTGGAGAATAAATGTGTAGCAGAATTCAATCCCGTTCACATTTAAAAGGTGAACTTAATTGGCATATTCTTAAATGTTGGGTTGTACCCAATACTGGTGCCACTCTGAGCAGACCCAGTGAATGGATAGGGCTACCTCAGGTTCGTCAATTTCAAAGGGTCTGCTCTGAGGAGAACTTAAGTTGGACAAACCCCAACATGCAACCACCCATCAAAGTTCGCACGCCTCCGAATTTTGCAGAGCAGCTGTCCAGCTAAGCAGTATATATAAGAACACGCACGCTAGCCTAAATTGAGGCTACGACTGCATGTATGATTGAAAACAATGTACAAAAATGCACTGCATTAGGGAAATTATTGCTTTGCAAAAATGTGCAATTTAGACCAAACTGCTTTTAAAAAACAAAAAAAGTGTGTACAGTCGTACCTTGGTTTTCGAACAGCTTAGTTCTCGAACGTTTTGGCTCCCGGATGTCCTATGGGGCTTCCACGGCTTCTGTTTGGCTGAAGGAGCTTCCTGCAGCCAATCAGAAGCAGAGCTTTGGTTTTCAAAATTTTTGGAAGTTGAACGGACCTCCGGAACGGATACTGTTTGACTTCTAAGGTACGACTGTATTGGGAGAAATCTGCACTAAAATACTGAAGAATTTTAATGTGGACTTTAAAAAATAAATTACAAACTGATATGGAGAACTGAACTTAAAAACTGGAAAAATAACCAGTTGAAACTGACAAAACTGCCCATCCTTGCCAGAGAACCAGAAGGACGGGAAGTGTAAAATGGAGAGGCGGGGATTGTGTCCAGTGCTAGCCCTACTCAGAATAGACCTACTGAAGTTAAAGGACATAACCAACTTAGGTTTATTGGTTCCAACGGCTCTACTCTGAGAATGCTTAGTTGGAAGCAACAAAGAGACAGACATCAGCTAGGAAATGGAGGGGGAAGCGAAAGAGGCCACGGAGAGGCTTGTGCAGAGGGCTACCTGTTGGAGCTCCTGGATCCGCCGCTGGAGAACCTCCAGGCTGTCACCTTGGAAGTGGAAGAAGCTGAAGACGGAGAGAGCCTATCCAGGGGAGGAGGAAGAAAGAAAGAGAGGAAGGGAGCAGAAGGGGGGAGCCCGGAGGAGACAGAAGGAAGAGGAAGAGAGTGAAGAGAGGAAGGAAGGAAGGATCTCGCGGCCCTGGCCTGGGTCCCTGCCAGGAACAAGCCCCCACAAATTCCAGGAGACAAAAGTCAAACAGTGACAAAGTCAGCGAAGGATGCTGGGCAGGCTGTACAGCTCAAGTATTTGTGAACACAGTTATAAGAATTCTAAGGTCTCAAATATAAACTGAATGTTCTTAAATGTACAAGGCAAACACATACATAAGTATATAAACCATGTGTCTGAAAAAGTACAGGAGAGCAATACTGAAACCATTTTAACTCTCCCAGTGACTTCAAATATTCCTCTGCAGTAAGGAAGGAAAATGGGAAAAGCCTTTTGCTTACAAATCCTGTCTTAAGGGTGTATTTGTGTACTAAAAGGGCAAGCCTCTAACTTGGACTCAGGAACTAAACTATTAACCATCACAAAAGAATGGTCAGGCTACCCAAGTAAAGCAATCAGTGACCACTGTCACGTATCCTGGCAAACAGGATTTCTGCTGTAGACTGCCTCCTTCTGTGATGTATGTATGATGTTTTAGGGCGTGGTCTTGAGCTACAAGGTGGGCAATTACAAAACTCTTTATAGGGGCTTGCGCACCATTGTTCAGAGTTCTCCTCCCTCCTGCGTGTGGTGAGTGGGGACCCTGTTGCAACAGTTGAATGAAGATCAGGCTTTTCAATATTCTCTGGTTGGACTCTGTTATTTTTCTCCTACTGATAGGGAACCCACTTAAGGACTCTATACGGGCTCCTGGATACCCCATAAGGGAAAAGGAGAAGTTTTTTCTTATAACAGGTACTCAGATGGTACACTTGTTCAATGTAACGTGTGAACACCCCTACCGTAACTACTCAAAAGTGTGCCCCACCAGGGGTCCTGCGTACACGCTCCCCGAAACATGCAACTAGGCGAGCACAATCACTTGCAAATGTGTAGAGCTGGCTTCTATGCAAAGGAGAAGCGAGGAACAAGAGTAGCCTTAGGCACGTGCAGAGTGCCTTTGCTTCACAGCTGAGTAAGGGCAGACAATCCTAAGATGAAGCATCGTTAGGGCTTTTATTTTGGAGCAGAGGGGACGGCTTCCAGCTAACATCATCCGCCTCTCCCATCCTGGGCCCCTTTTCCCTCTCCTCCTTGAATCCTCTTCAACACTGACATTTTCAGTGCTGGGGAGGCCTAGAGAAGCCCATCGCCCCCTATAATAATAATAATAATAATAATAATAATAATAATAATAATAATTTATTATTTATACCCCGCCCATCTGGCTGGGCCTCCCCAGCCACTCTGGACGGCTTCCATAGAAACCAAAAATACACTAAAATATCACACGTTAAAAACTTCCCTGAACAGGGCTGCCTTAAGATGTCTTCTGAATGTCAGGTAGTTGTTTGTCGCTTTGACATCTCGTGGGAGGGCGTTCCACAGGGCGGGCGCCACTACCGAGAAGGCCCTCTGCCTGGTTCCCTGTAGCTTTGCTTCTCGCAATGAGGGAACCGCCAGAAGGCCCTCGGCGCTGGACCTCAGCGTCCGGGCAGAACAATGGGGGTGGAGACGCTCCTTCAGGTATACTGGACCGAGGCCGTTTAGGGCTTTAAAGGTCAACACCAACACTTTGAATTGTGCTCGGAAACGTACTGGGAGCCAATGTAGGTCTTTCAAGACCGGTGTTATATGGTCTCGGCGGCCGCCCCCTGTCACCAGTCTAGCTGCCGCATTCTGGATTAGTTGTAGTTTCCGAGTCACCTCAAAGGTAGCCCCACGTAGAGCGCATTGCAGTAGTCCCAGCGGGAGATAACCAGAGCATGCACCACTCTGGCGAGACAGTCCGCGGGCAGGTAGGGTCTCAGCCTACGTACCAGATGGAGCTGGTAAACAGCTGCCCTGGACACAGATTTGACCTGTGCCTCCATGGACAGCTGTGAGTCCAAAATGACTCCTAGGCTGCGCACCTGGTCCTTCAGGGGCACAGTTACCCCATTCAGGACCAGGGAGTCCTCCACACTTGCCCGCCTCCTGTCCCCCAAAAACAGTACTTCTGTCTTGTCAGGATTCAACCTCAATCTGTTAGCTGCCATCCATCCTCCAACCGCCAATCCTCCAACTATTCTTCTGAGACTCACCTGTGGGGGCAAGCGGCCTCCTTCTTTTTCCCAGGTGATGGTGGCAGCAGGGGAGCCTCCTGCTCGGCAATAGAGCCTCACGGTGCTCCCTTCGTGGACCTCTGTCCGTTCTGGGCTCACCTGCACTTGTGGGATGCTGGCACCTGAGGAAGAGCAGAGCGGCAGGTGAGCCCACCTCTTCCCCTCCGATTGTCCCCCCAGCTCCTCTTGACCTGGCCTAGGGAAGGGAGCGGCCCCCCAAGATAACTGACAGAGATGGCTGCCAGGGTGGATTTAATTTAAATCAAATTGATTTAAAATCACGATGTAAATCACTAGTCAGTAAGATTTGATTTAAATCAGGCATAGGCAAACTCGGCCCTCCAGATGTTTTGGGACTACAACTCCCATCATCCCTAGCTAACAGGACCAGTGGTCAGGGATAATGGGTGTTGTAGTCCCAAAACAACTGAAGGGCCGAGTTTGCCTATGCCCAATTTAAATCTTTTTTTTTTTTAAATAGAAAGACTCATTCTTGTTGGCATCATCTTAATATTGAGAACCAAATGAAGGTTTCATTTTTGGAATAATAAATTTTCAGAGTAGTTTTTACAGTTATATCAAAAATTACTGATTTGGTTATACTATTAGACAGTGTTTTTTTTTTAGGGGTACGCATACCCCTAAACATTTTCTGAATCTTGTCCATTTACTGTATTTATTTTCCACGATTTGAACTATAATATGGTGATTTTCTTGAGTCAAAATGAGATTACCCCATAAACATTTTTTAGGGGGGGAAAGCACTGTTATTAGAAATACATAGACTGATAACAATGAAATTATTGCGAGGTTTAATAAGTTAACTGTTTATATTTGGACAACTTTTCTGCTGTACTTTATCAGAAGGAGAAAAATAATCATTTCCTTAATAACAATTTAAACAATTTATTTAACTAAAATAATAACATTATAGCAGATGCATCCATGGTTGTTAACTGATGTGGTTAAACAATTAAAAAAAAAATTTTAGCACACATGAAAAACTTAATACAAATCCTTACTTCCAGATGAATAGCCTTTGGAAAACTATCTTTAGAAAGGTTTTTCCTCCAAAAGTATTTTATTTTAAAAATCTGATTTAAATAAAAAAAATCAGATTTTTTTGATTTTTTAAAAAAAACCAATTTATTTATTTTTAATCATTTATTTTTAACCACCCTGATGGCTGCCCTTTCTGTCAATGAAGCCAGAGCGGCGAGAGAAAAAGGGCTTCCTTTCTCTGCCCACCACTAGATAATATTACCAGCAGTGCTGGCTCCAGACTCCCCACCAACTTGGGTGACTTTAAAAGAAGATTAGACACATGGAGGAAGATAACGTTATTAGTGGCTGAATCAGGTAGGTTCCCTTTGGCCTGACCCGGGAGCAGGCGGGCTCTCTCCTTCTTCAGGGGCACATTCGCCAACCCCAGAGACGGGTCAAATGGATGGCGCGCCACCCACTTCACGCCCGGGCACAACGTACTGTGTACTTGTAAGAAGGCACGGGCCATATGTTGTCCGGCGCTATTCCGCACACGGCACAAATACTGGGCTTCGTCGGAAGGCTCCGCTGCAGGGAAGCGCAGGATCCCACCCTGGATGATGGCTTTGGAGGAGATGACGCCCCCTTGTCCACCTGATAGAGAGAAGAAGAAGAAGAAGAAGAAGAAGAAGAAGAGGAGGAGGAGGAGGAGGAGGAGGAGGAGTTTGGACTTGATATCCCGCTTTTCACTCCCCTTAAGGCAGGCAAGGCCAAACTCGGCCCTCCAGATGTTTTGGGACTACAGCTCCCATCATCCCTAGCTAATAGGACCAGTGTTCAGGGATGATGGGAATTGTAGTCCTGAAACATCTGGAGGGCAGAGTTTGGCCATGCCTGCAAGCAGCTAACAATCTCCTTTTCCCTTCCTCCCCCACAACAAACACTCTGTGAGATGAGTGAGGCTGAGAGACTTCAGAGAAGTGTGACTACCCCAAGCTCACCCAGCAGCTGCATGTGGAGGAGCGGGGAATCAAACCCAGTTCACCAGATTACGACTCCACCTGTGATGGCCTGGGATTCGGACTCGGAGGCTGAACCTGAGGGATCCCAGCCTGCACAGGATTCCCCGCCTCCAGAACCAGCTGAGCCGGGGCTGGGGCATGAGCCTGAAGGGTCCTCACCTGTGCTGGATCCTCAGGTGCAGGCATCAGCTGAGTCTGCTCTGGCTCCTGAGGTGATGGAGGACCCATTGCCTGCAGGTGCTCCACTCTCAGCTCCGTCAGGGGAAGCTGAGGTTGCCTCTGGGTCCGGTAACCCTCCAGCCTCTCCTGAGCTGCAGAGGCTCAGGGCAGAGAGGCGGAGGGAACTAAGTTCCCGCAGGAGGAGTGCTCGCCTCCAGGCCAGGAGAGGCGAGTCACCAGAGGATCAGGGCCACCCTATGCCTCGGGGCAGGTAAAAGCCGACCAGCCCCAGACCCAAGTTGCAGGAGCAACATTGTTGGTTGCTAGTTTCTGCCTGAACCCTGTCCTGCTTTTCTGCTAGAGTTCATGACTTCACCCGACTCCCTGCCCTGCACCCAGCTTCAGCGATTATGGACTGCCTCCACGTTGCAGCTTTGACCATGGACCGGACTTGGACCTCGCCTCTCGGGTAACCCACGGGACCAGCACACCACCATTCTTAACCACCACACCATGCTGGCTCTCAGAGGAGAGAGAGGAGTTATTATTTTTTTCAATTTGTATAATAATAATAATAATAATAATAAATTTTTATTTATACCCTGCCCTTCCCAGCAAAGACCGGGGTCAGGGCAGCTAACAACCAATAATAAAAACAAGTTGATTAAAATACAATTTAAAAGAATTAAGATACAACATTAAAACAATTAGGGAGCAATCTCTTCATAGGAGGAGAAAGGAAAAGAAAGAGGGGGAGGGAATCAAAGTGATTCTAAGCCAAAGGCCAGGTGGAACAACTCTGTCTTACAGGCCCTGCGGAAAGAGATATCAGATCCTGCAGGGCCCTGGTCTGAAGAGACAGAACGTTCCACCAGGCCGGAGCCAGTGTTGAGAAGGCCCTGGCTCTGGTTGAGGCTAATCTAACTTCCTTAGGGCCTGGGACCTCTAGGGTGTTTCTCTATATGGACCTTAAGGTCCTCCATGGGGCATACCGGGAGAGGCGGTCCCGTAGGTACGAGGGTCCTAGGCTGTGAAGGGCTTTAAAGGTCAAAACCAGCACCTTAAATCTGACCCTGTACTCCCCCGGGAGCCAGTGCAGCTGGAAAAGCACTGGGTGAATATGCTCCCATGGCAGAGACCCCGTGAGGAGCCTCGCTGCAGCATTCTGCACCCGCTGGAGTTTCTGGGACAGCTTCAAGGGCAGCCCCGTGTAGATCAATTCCCAATACTCTTATACCCTTTTACAAGTCCAAGTCCCCTGGAAAATTCCTGGGGATGCCCGAGGGAAGGTGACTTTTCGGAGACAGGGGCCACGGCGTCACCTAGCAGGAAGCTTACCAATCCACTCCACCGTGGGCTCTGGGCTCCCGGTAGCGATGCAGCGGAACTCGGCCGCTTGTCCTGGCTGGACGCTCAGCTGCGAGGGCTCAATGGTGGCCATGGGGTGCACCGCGGGTCCAGCTAAATTGGGGAGAAGAAAGTTCAAGGTGGCTCTGGGAAGCCGGGGTGGGGAGTCCATGCCAGTGGCAATTTCAGAACACGAATTGAGAAAGGCTCATGTGCCCTCAAGACCCCGCAGAATCAGGAAAGGAACCGAGCCATGCAGGAGCAAATGGATGTCACCCTAGACATGAAGCATGCATTAGGGGCACCTGCCCCACTGATGACTGTAGCGCAGGGTGTATAAAACAGGAGAGTCAACATCCGGTCACCCATGCCATCAAAACCCATGCAGAAGAGGAGGAGAAAGAGGTGGAAAGGACTCCAGCGTGAGGGTATGAAACCGAAACCTTGCAGCGATGGACAATGGGGCATGCAAGTGGGGCCCAAAACCGACTTACAGGGCCTGTGGCCTTCCACCACTTCTACAGGTCCGTAGAACATCTGGGTCTTAGACGGAGCTGCGGGCGAGGGAGAGGGACGTGAAAACCAGGCCCAGGGAGGATGAGGGCCTGGCCAATGGCAAGGACCCCCGGGCACCCAAGGCACCGTTTTCCAGAGCTGGAGATCCTTGCCCAGTGGATCAGAAATGGATTGTCCCTGGAGATATACCATATTGTCCTGAATATAAGCCACACCTTTCCCCCCCCAAATTCCGACCGTGAAAAGTTAAAGTGCGGCTTAAATTCATGACCTTACAAAAACTGGCTTTTACGGTCACGCTGTAGGATTTCCTTCTACATTTGCCATTTATTGGTGTGAATGCCTGCGGAATTTTAAGGGAGATGCTTATATTCGGATATTGTCTTTCTTTTCTCCTCCCCCTTCTTGAATTTTAAAGGTGCGGCTTATTTGCGGGTGCGGCTTGTATTCGGGCCAATATGGTATGTTGGGGGCATGCAAAGCAGCAGCTCTGCCACAGAGCTACTGCCTCACACTAAAACTAAAGAAAGCCTCTGGTCCCCGTGGTACTGAGAAAGTCAGGAACAGGATCTAAGTTAAGGTCCACCTAGCTTGGTATTGTCTACACTGGTTGGCAGCAGCTCTCCAAGTTTTCAGATGGGGATCCTTTCCCCCAACCTGGAGAAGCAGCCCAGGACTGAACGTGGGACCTTCTGCATGCCAAGCAACTGCTCTAGAACTGAGCCATAATCCCTTCCCTTCAGACCCGGGACCGCAGGGAGCGGTCTTCTACGGAGCCCCTCCAGCTCAGTATCGTCTGCACTGACTGGCAGAGGCTCTCCTGGCTTCCGAGCAGGAGAAAGGAGGTGAATGGACCTCTCTGATCCCACCGCCTGAACCCCCAACTCCCATTACCCCCAAGAAGCAACAGGTGGGAGCCATCTTTCGTGACATTTTGGCAGAGACGAGCGTGCTCAGTTGCCGTGTGCCCAGGGCTACGAGAGCAGCCTGTGGCCAGGTGGGCGAGCGTTGGGTGTCGGTGTTAAGCTACGATCCGGCTGTGCCTGCAGCCTTGGGGCACCCTGAGCATGCAGCCTCCTTTCTCCATCCCTACCTTGCACGTAGAGGGTGGCGACCCCTTCGTCCATGTCGAACATGTTGGACCCTGTGCAGACATAGATCCCGGCATCCTCTGGTTGGACATTGCGTATGGTGAGGATCCCGTTGAAGTCCATGGCCCGGCTGGGCAGCTTCCCATTGTTCTGGCGTGTCCATACCAGGGTGTAGGCAGGAGACTGGGGGTGGGCAGCCAGGGGAGGAGAGAGTTGGGACTCCAAAGACAGGCAGCTTTTCAACAGGTTGTGTTACCTCTCTACCAGCCTTCTCCCCCCCACCCCGGCTTTTGACACCAGAGATGTGAGTAATAAATTAAACGATGATAATGAGAATAATAGTAATGATGACGATAAAAAGAATAAC